AGCAGTCCTCAGCAGTGGTACTTGGTGAGCTGATGTGGGGATAAAGTGTTCCACATTTTGGAAGGCAAATTCCTTCCACAGCAAGCAGGGTGCTGCCAGCTTGCTGCAAGAGACAGCTGAGGCTGCCATGGACACCAGGAGAGTGAAGGGAGCATGTGGAGTTGGTGGAGGCAGAAGTGACCTCCAAGGAGGAGAGGAGTGATTTTACTTTCCTCCTGATCCTTCTGTGCCAGAGCCCCAGAGCCTTCTGACCCCACCTGCCTTTAGTGACCCTGGCTGAGGTGTCTTAAATAAAAAACAACTGAGCTCACAGGGAAGGGCAATGGCTTGGGTAGAAATGGGGATGAGGAATTAGAGAAACAGCAAATGGCTACATGCAAAATAGGCAAAGTAAGTATATAATCCTCCTGGATTTATAGGAGAGATATTGGCACATACCAGGAACATTTCAAGCCAAATGTATGACAGCATTCCTTACAGCCCTCCCACCCACTGCCATAGCCCAGCTTAATGCAAAGCCCTTTGGCTTCCCCAGGCTCAGAACTACATTTTATTGTTCAAACAGGTCAACAATTGCAATCAGATGTTGACTGCAGGCAAGGCACAAACACGATGATGTGTTCATGTGCAGCAGCACGTGGAGGGAGGCTCTGCAGTGCTGCTGCTGTGAATGGCCTGTGCAGGGTGGCAGCTGGGCTGGATCTCCCAAGGCTGCCTCAGAAGCCCATCAGTGTTGTGCCATGAATCCTGTGAGATCAGGAATGAGCCCTGTTATTAAAGTGTAAACTCCATTTCTGGAAATCACTGTGGGAGGAGGGCTCTCACACCAACTCTGCTTTGGTTTGTTATAAAATCAGACAATCCTTTGGGTGGGAAAAGACCTGTAAGATCATAGAGTCCAACCCAGCACTGCCAAGTCCACCACTCCCATGTTCCTGGGTTTTTAAGGCTGCTTTAGAAAGATGCTGCTCCCTTTTTAACAAGAATTGAGCTGGAGTGGGGTACAGATGATGGCATCTTTGTAAGACAGGCTGGGAGAGGATCCTAGAGGTGTATATGACTGCAAAAACAACCTTCACCGTGCTGGGGGAGCTAACAGAACAAAGATTCTGGCCAGTGACTACAACAAAGACATCCCAAACACGTGGCACTGAAGTAATTCTGTTTATTTCACACCAGGGCAGAGTGCAGCTAGGTTATGCAGATACCTTCCCAATGGATGGGATCCTTTTGCTCCAGTATAAATTTCCACACTCCCAGCACTGTTCATTGTCAGGGGATGCCTGTGGAGCTGCACCTTCCCCAAAAGCACTCTCAGAACATCCCTCTCCCCAGGCAGAAACTTCCCCCTCCCCACAGCCTGCCCAGGCACACACAGAGATATCCCAAACACAGCCTGGCACGCTCTTCCCAGACAGGAATTTTCTACTCTTGTGTCACTGACCACAGACCTGGCAAGGCATCGTTCAGGTGTTAACATCCCCATGCTTTATTTTGCAACCTGACCAGGACAAGACCCATCATTTCTTGGTTTTTAGCACACTGAGAACTCTGAGGTTCCACAATTTTACTGCCAAATGACCTTTTACACCGACCACAGCAATTAAACAGTTGGCTTGGATTTATCCAAATCCCAGTCTCAGTCCAGTATTACACAGATGCATAATGTACCACTTACAGCTTCACTCCTTTCTTTTCATATTCATGCTTTGGGTTGGCTTTGTATTTTTGTCTCAAGTTCAGAAATCTTATTAAAGATATTATGGAAAAAATAAATTTATTATTCAACATATTCAATTTGTTCAAAATGGAATGATCCTTTTTTCTTTTTTTTTTTTTTTTCTCTGTTTTGGCTTTCATTTACAACTGGTTCCATTCAGTTTGACTGTTTTTTTATCTTTTTCTATTTATAACCAGCACCAAGAAGAAAATTACCATGGATACAGTACATATGCAAATTAGCTAATGGAAAAATATATACATTTCACTCTGTAATGAGAAAACTTAAATGATATTATTGCCATGGAGAATATATCTCTGTATTATAATAAAATATCAAGCAATAATCAACTGCTAAGATTCTTTTCCACCAACAAAAAATAGCACCATACATGAGATAGTGAGAATCTACACTCAATAACACAATTGTGCAACTAGAAATGTACAGTACTTTAGTAACAGTACAGAGTATTGTTTATAATATGGAAATACCACCACTGTAATCAAAAGAGCATCAATCTCATATGAACAACTAAGAAAAGTATTGTTGTAGATACACTGAAACAGTTTCTTTTCTTTTCACCATAATGTGGGAACTGAGGGCAGAGCATAGCTGTGACTTCATTGTAAAGCTCCTATAAAGTGATAAAAACCAGAAGTGCAGGAATATTGAACAGAATTAGATTTTTTTGTAATTATTTTTCTGGCTGTTATGTGATGGGTTGTTGTCACCATGTGAAGTAAGAGAATTGAATAAAATGGAGCTGTGTTGTGCCATCAGTTCTAAATAATGTTGGAGGGTTTGATTATAAAAAATAAAAGGCTGATGCATGCTAATCTGTGAGCTGTGAGAGCAAGTGAGGTGTTTTTTTCTCAGTGCTCATACAGTTGAAAAAAAATCCTTGTAAATTCCTGTTTCCTTAGGTAGGACTCAGAACTTGCACCCAAGTGTCCTTTGGGTCCAGAACCCAGCAGGTTGGGTCAGGCCAGAGGTCTAACCAGCCTAGCACCCTGTCCTGGCCAGTGGCCAGTACTGAATTATTACTGAAAAACACAAAATCTAAAATCCTTCCTCTCTATGTCCTACCTTTTGCCTAGAGAGGGTCACAGATCAGCACCAGAAGGAAAACGTTCCTGCTGTGGAGAAGCACCTTTGATTCCCAGCAATGATAATTCACACAATTCTGCCAAGGTAACAGAGAAAATGTTGCCCATGAGAAGAAAATCAGCAAATTAAAAATGGAGTGAGGGGTGTCAGGGGATTCAGGGTGGCTGTGGGGGCAGGGAGGCAGCAAGGACAGTCCCAGTGCCACTGCTAAGGGGGAAACACCACTGTGGATTAGGCACATAAACCAGGTCCTATGGACTCTGTCTGATCTCCTGGAACTTTCTCACTTGCAGTTCTTCTATCTGTTAATTTGCCTAATAGAGTATCACCTGGTATTGTCTAAATCTTCCCTGTCACCCCTGCCAGCAATTTTCCCTTGATTGCTTGCTAAGTACTTATATAACCTCTGGGCTGGGCAACAGGGTGGGAATAACAGAAAAAGGAGATTTAATCCTGATTATGAATTGCAAAAAAAAAAAAAAAAAAAAAAAAAAAAAAAAAAAAAAAAAAAAAAATCCAGTATAACAAAAACCAAGCTGGAATCATTTCCCTGATAGAGAAAATCATCTGAGGCATTGGAAAGCAGATCTGTTTGAGACAGGCACTTGAGGAAAAAAGGTGTGCCAATGTGCCCTTGTGCATCAGGCCAGCCCTGGTGCACACACACAAGCACAGATGTAAATGTGAAGCCCACACAGGGTTAGTCTGTTGATGAACATTATCTCCCTGTGCTTGAAATATTTAGCCCTTAACAAAATGCTAATAGGTAATTCCAGTGAGGTCCTGGATATGGAAAGAACAGCACTAAGCAAAAATTGCTTTAAAGATGTTAGGTACTCAGAGTCTTTATCCTTCCTTGCATTGACAAAAAGAGACAACAGCAACAAAGACAACCTGGGGCCAGGTGAGAGCTGCAAGCCAGCCTGGCCCAGGGGCTGGGGGAGCAGCTGGGCTTGGCTCTGTGCTCAGCTCCAAGGAGTCAAACAGTCCCACACGGTTCCAGAGTGAGCACAAAGCTGCAATTATCCAAAGGACTCTGTTCCTGTCACCAGGAGGGGGCTGAAACTCAGCCATGGCCTTGGGCCCGGGCAAGGGAACGATGCTGGAGCAAGATGTGACAGGGAGACACTGATGTATGTGACAAGGGAGGGGACAAGCCCTGCCCTGGGCAGACCTCCTGTTTCAAGTCTCACGGCACAGAGAGGAGTCTGGTTTAAAGTGCAGAGACATGGCAGAGAGTATTGTGTGGGCAGCACCTGTAAGTGCTCTGACAGCACCAAACCTATAGCACCAAACCTGACAGCACCACAGAAGTGACACAGGGAGCACCCAAAACAGCAATGGAAGCCTGAGCTCTTGGCTTCCTACAAGCTCCAGGTTACACTTTGAATGTCTTGCATCCCTGGCTACTTCTGGTTACTCCAAAAGCTACATAAGCTCAGCTGTGTAAAAGAGCCCAGAGATAGAAAACACCTGTTCTGCTCCCCACTACATCCTTTTAATAAAGATTGTTCCAAATTCAGTTTCTGTTCCAACCCTATCCAGTTTCACAGTCCTCTTAAAAGAACCAACAGTCTCATTATCTGATTGACTTCTAAAAATTGGAGAGAGCTTAAGCCAAGCAATCCCTCAGTGAGCTCTACTGGATGAAATGATTTCTGGCTTCTCCCATCTCATGTAAATGGTTCTTGTTTAAAAGTAACTATCTACGGCTGTTAATAAGCTTCCATTTCATTAAGCTCAGAGAAAAATTAGGTTTCATAAAAGAAACTCTATTATTCTGGGGAAAAGATAGAGAGGATTGTTTTTTAAAATTAGAAGGAAAGGCACTCCCTATTAGTGGCTCTGAAAATACGACTTGGAATGTTGGATATAATTATACTGAGTATTCTCTAGGAAATTCAGAGATGTCCATCCTCTGCTATCAGTTTTCACAAGCTTTTACAGAAAATCCTCTCTTTAAACTAAACCTTTCATTGATGCATGTCCCTCCAAGCCCACTCTGCAGTGGGATAACTGCTGGGAATTGAAAACAACAGATAAAAGCCAAGATTAAAAGATTAAGTAATGTCTCTACCTTTGCTGAATTATTTTGCCAGAGGCCTTCCTCCATGGAGGTACCCATAACCTTATCCAATGTAATCACTTTGCAACTCTTGTCCTTTTCTTTAATGGTAGCAAGCCATCCAGTGGCTGGTGATTTAATATATTAAAAAAGCATTAACGAAAAATGTGAGGATGTCAAAATATTCAGAAATGATTGGCTCCTTGAGATGACCCTTTCTGTGTGTTTTTCTTAAGGTGGATGAGCGGATGACTTTGGTATCCAGTCTGTAGGATTAGTTTCAAGTCTCATTAGGTGTGCTTTGGGATCCACCACGCTGTAGCAACTCATGAAGTTCCAGTACTCAGACCTACTAGTCTGTGATTTCCATACAAACAGCTGGAAGACTCTAAGGAATGGCACAGGTTCATTAACTCTTCTGCTGCATCTTGTTTGCATAAAAGTCTCTGCAGGTCTGGCAGCAGCGCTGGTACCACCGCATGTCCTGGCACAGGTTCTTCTCACGGATCACCCTGCAGTACACTGTCCACTGGTCCCCCGTGCACTTGTAGGTGAGGGCAGCTTGGGAGGAGACAAGAAAGGAGAAACTGCCAGATTAGCCAGGGAACAGCGCTGCAGGTGTGACCAAAAGCCCTGCACACGAGCGGAGGGAGGGCCACGCTCGCTGCCGGCACTGGAGAGCAGGTGAGGTTCTCTCTGCCAAAATATTGGGCTCTTGGAAGTGCTTCCTTCCTTCCTTCCCTGGCCATGAATGGGGAATGCAAACCTCCTCCTGCTGCACCTGTTTTGTCTCAGAGGCAAACAGGCCTGGATGAACAAACCATCCAAAGATGCAGCCCAGATTTAAGGCCATGAACTCCATGGAGATGGATAAATCACACAACTGGCAAGAGCACCTGAGACAGACCTTATGAATGTGAGATGGGAGAGTTCACATAAAAGAAACTAAGCCACAAACAAGGCCAGGACTAAAATTTCAAAGGTCCAAGGTCCCTCACAGGTTGTGAAGGAAGACAAGAAAGAAGTGACAGGATAAATCCCTCTGAATGTGATGACAATGAGAGACACTGGACACAGACATAAAAGCCAGGTGAGGTGAACTCCACATTTAGATATTTTTGGAAATGTTATCCAAGACAAAAAACCATTCTGAAGTAGGGACAAGACAGCATGGAGTCTGTAGACTACTGGGATTTTTTTCTGATTTTTTTTCCTTCCATTGCAGAAAAGAGAAAATTCTGTTTAACGATAATCCAATTAGAATTGTTTATAAGCAAAAAGAGCAAAACACTCAATGATATGTCTTTCCACTAATATCAAATATCATTATTTCTGGCCCTGGTGATTCCAAGCCTGGTTTAGAAACAAAAGCATCCCAAATTGCTTGCAGATTATTTTCAGCAGGGACTTGAGCCTCCTCAGTCTTCTAAACACATGAGCATTTTATTGCTTTGTCCTAAAATGTGAATTAGGATGGATTTCTTGTCTCATCAGTGTATCAAGGGCTTACATCTCAAATGAAATGTTTTCCTTCCACTATGCTCTTAGTGCTAAAATATCTGGGAAGTACTCTCATACCAAAAGAGGATAGAAACCTCTCAGCATGAGTGCATTTGCAAAAATGAAAGTCCCCATTTTCTCTAAAAACATCTGGTAAACTTTTGGGGAACAAATTTCACTTCAGAAGCTTCAACTCCAGCCCTAGTTTAAGTGTTATTTAATAATGGAGAACATTATTAGAAAATGGTTCTCTATTATTTAGCAGCTCTGTGTTTTCATGTGTGTTAGAGGTTTCTTAGCCTGTAAGATCAGATTTAAGATCAGCTCAGATGTGACAGAGGAGGCTGCTCTTTCTGGTAACCTCTTGTTTACAACCCAGCCTCTTCTACCAAAAGGGGGACAGGAGGCACCCATGAGGCTGGGTTAGTGCATGTAGCTGATGCCTTAATTTAGCTTCATCTTACTGGTGATGATGTGTGAAATGTAAAGAAACCAACTTGATTCTTGGAGCTGTGGTGGAACACACAGGGCTGAAGTTAAAAAAAAAATATATTTAGTATATTTATATTTTTTCCCCTTATAAACTAATGTGAAAAATCATGAGATTCCCACAAATTTGTATTAACAGAGGCATTCTTAATTAGTAGCATGTCTTAAGTACAGTGTTAGGTGTTTCAGGAGACAGATGGTTATCACCATATTCCCATCCCAGCCAGGGACACAAGGAATGCAGGGAGGGTGAGGAGGAGGACAGTGACAGAAAATCATAGGGTCAGGAAGAGGCTGGATGCTCTCTTGCCCCTCTGGGCAAATCAATCCATCAAACCACCCGTCAGGGTCATGCATTTTCTTGGGACACAATGAATAAATGATCCCACTCCACACTCACTGCAGCACAGGCAGCGTGTGGAAGAGTTTGTGATGGAGAAAGATGCACCTGCCAGCTCCCTCACCTGTGACTGATCAATCAATCAATCAATCAGTCAGTCAATCAATCCAATCACCCACCATTTGTGTGCTCCTGCTGCTCTCTTGAGCTCCATCCTCTGCCATGCCAAGCACTCCACCTGGGCACAGCCTGAGGCAGGGCTCAGACAGGACCTACCCACACCAGACCTTTAGGCTGGAGTCTGGCCGAGCCTCTCCCGATTTCTGGCCCCGGACAATCACTGCAGCCCCCGGGCAGCTGGCACCTTCCCCCCCGGCCCCTGACTCACCCAGCCTGGGCGAGGTGATGGTGTTGACGTTGATCCTGTCGTTGCAGACCTCCTGGTGGCACTGCCTGTAGGCCGCGGGCTTGGCCAGCGCCGGGCACTCGCTGCCGTGGCGCCCGGTCACTTTGTGCATGCACTGCACCACGCGCGACTGCAGCCCCTTGCCGCACGTCGAGGAGCACTGCAGGAGAGAGCACACTGAGCTTCCGTGCCACAGCACAGCAGGAGTCACTGCCAGAGCACAGGGTGCAGCCACTGTGCTGCTGAGGGCTCACAGCTGGCTCTCCGTGGCACCAGGGACACTCTGTGTGGCTGCTGTGCTGGCTGTGATGGTTTTGCACCTTCAGGGAGTGCTGTGAGCAGAGGAACTCACCTGGCTCAGGGAAGGAACTTGTCTTTCTGCCCTGAGTTCACCTACTCTGACTGTCCTCTGTGGATGCCCATGGGGCTCAAGCAGGCAAAAATGCAATTCCCCCCACCAGTCATGAAGACGCAAAACTGAAAAATGTGCAATTATGGACCAGCAGCTTCCACCTCCCTCTCTGTGAGGGACTCAGTGGTTCTTGGTTTAAAAGCTCTCTCCAATACATGGATGGTCTAACAAGGCTTCCTCCACAGACAGGATGACCACAGCCAGGCACCGACATCAGATAAATCCCAGGATTCCAGCAGAGGCTGGCAGCTCCTGCGTGCCCAGAGCTCTGAGAAGCTCTGTTCTGGAGAGAACAAATCAGGTATTCCAGTTTCACTCCCATCTATCCCTGCTGTCTGGCCCTTGCCTGTCCTCCTGGGAGCAATTGCAAATTGTACTCATGAGTTTTGGCTGCTATTAGCCAGGAGGCCCAGCCTGTTCATATGCTCTCTTTGTTGTCATACAGTCAGAGTCCCTCCCTCTCCCTCCCTCTTCCTCTGGCCCAGTCACTTGTGATTTACAATGTCCTACTTGCACGCTGTTCAATTTTAATAAAGCAAACACAGTGAGCACAGGGAGGTGCAGCAGCTGGAGTCAATAAAAGAACCTTGTATTTAACATAAAGAAACAATGGCTTGCAAGACTTGGGTAAGATTCCTGTTTCTGCTAAAGCCACACACAAGCAAATGATGGGGGAGAGGAGGAGGTGAGGGAAAGCCCAGGAGGTAGCAACAGAATGATGTAAAAAAAGGTCATGTTTTCTGTCCTCTGCTGTTTCTCACCAAAGTCAGGGCACTGGAGCTTTCTCCCTGAAAACCACCATCACCTCAGAGAGGTAATTCTCAAAGGAGAGATGCCAAACACTGGAGAGGTTCAGAAGCTGGGCATCAGTGAGGCTGGACTGAAGTCCAGGTACAAATCCTGTGTGTGCAGTGTGGATGCTTGTGAGACCCAGAGCCAAAGGCAGAACATGTGGATGCACACAGGGCTCCACCTCCACATCCAAGGAGGATGAGTACAGCAAAGCTGTGATCATTTTGGTCTAGAAGTATCACAAGAAACCCTTGCAGTTTGGGTTTTTTTCCTTTACAATCTCCTTATTTCAATTTAAGTTCAACACCAGTTTATGACAGATACTTTTACACTTAGATTTTTCAGGTGTTGAATTTACATAAAAAATTGATCACTGTCAAATACTACCTCAGCAGTGGTTATAGTATTTAGGATTATGCTGAATGAACCCTTCCCCTGCCCTACAGTAAGCTATTCCAAAAATCAGGAATTAAAGTCCCTGATGTAAATCCCCTTCACAATCTGAATTTATGCAGTGAAATCTGGGCATTACACTAGTTTTGTGTGTCCCTCAGCTCTTTCCCAGCACGGAGTGCCCTCAGTGACTTCCACCAGCCTGGAAGCCAGTCAGGCATGGCCACTGGATTTGAAGTGAACTATTTTCCTCCTCATAAATGCAACTATTAGGCTCTTCCACTTCACCAGTCAAATGCAACCTTTAATCCTCAGGATTCAGTGGCACTTTTAGTCTTCACAGTGCTTTACTAATCTTAATCCTCCCCAAACTCTTTGCTTTGGGAGGGGAATTGTACATCCATTTTGCAAACAGAATTGCTGCTATCACACAGGTATTAAATAACTCAGGCCATGGGCTTCCTTCACATGATTGCAACAGTGAGCCTGAAACCTCTGTCTCTGGCTTTTAAGCACTCCCTGTGCTCTTAACAGGGGGGGCATGGGGAGAAAGAAGGGAAAAGAGGACAAAACCAGCATTTTTCTCATAAGGTGAATGAGGTTTTCAGATACCAACACACAAACACTCACCTATCTGTGTTCCTGTCTCTGCATTTGTTAACCAGCAAAGAGGGCAAGCAGTGAAACTTTTTTCCACAGACACTGCCAACTCCAATCCTCAGACAAATAACAGCAGAGCTTTTGCCTGAAGCAGTTTTATTCCTTCTCCTGGGAGACTGGGATCATCACCTATGCTATGCAATTAGTTTTTCACAGCCAGCAAGACAGATTTTAACATCTTTCTTGAACTCTTCAGGGCTTGGCAGCTAAAGGAAGGTTGGACATCTGGCTTATTTTAAGACAAAATTTTCAACTCGGTACTTGGATAGTTTCTTTCCTAGGAATTTCAATAGGAAATAGGAATAGATACAAAATACATACAAAGGGGGAATTGTTACTCATGCTGCACTATGAGAAGAGGACATCATTAAAAAAAGGTATAAAAATCAAACTCCAACTGCACAGCAAATTCCCATAAATATATTCCTTCTCTGGACAGCTAAATGCACTGCTATGGATTCCCTGTTCCCAAATGTTTGCGGAGCAAGGAACCATATCCACAGAACAATTTTCAGGGCTGGATTCAGCAGAGAAGAGATGCTGGTGCCAAAGGAAGAAGTGGATTTTCCCTTCCACCAGGCACAGCCAGTGGTGTCACTATCACTAAAATGCACGTGCAAAATGCACAGAATTTAACCATAATGCCCTAAACTGACAACACAAGCACTGTAAACTGGAAATCCACCCCCATGCAATGATCAAAGGGTTGCTCAGCACTGTAAAATAGAGGTGGTTAATGAACAGCTACAAAAAGTGAAGCTAATGAGAGCCCCTGTAACTCCAGTTCAAACACTGCTTAGGAAGGCAAAAGCAAGACAAAAATGCCTGCATTCACATTCTTTGGCAGTAACATGCAAGCCAGTGGGGATATCCAGAAGGAAATAAACTCACAAATTGTCAAGGCAGCAGCTGCATTCAAGAGCTTAAAGAAGATTTACTCACTGAAAAACTCTAACCTTAGGAGCAAGCTATGATTTTTCAACTGGAATGCTATTTCCACCTTAGGATACTGATATGAAAGCTTGAAATCTAGCAAAGGTGCTGACAGATGTATAATTGCTTTGAAAGCAAATGCCCCAGGAGAATATTAGGTATTAAAATAGAACAAATTTACAGAAAGTGCAGAGATCTGTCAGGGCCTTCATCAACTCCTGGTCTAAAAAAGATAGCAGAGAAAGAGAGGGGAATGAGAGTGACATAAGCCAGGGCAGGGCTGCTGTTGGGCATCACAGCAGAGAGTCCAAAGAATCCCTCTGTTGAAGCTTAATGGGGTCAGAAAAGGTAGAGATTTACCAGCACAGACACAGGTCCAGGACTGAATGGGATAATGGATCATTGCTGAGGGCTCCTGGGAGGTTGGGATACATTCCAGACCCCAGGACACCTTCAGAAATGTCACTTTTCTAACCTCCAAGGGATGGGTGTAAATATTTTTTTTTGTAAGAGATTTTTCCCAGCAGAAGCAGGTCACAGCATCCCTCCAGCCAATCCTGAGCACACTCCAGTACAGAGAGGGCTGATCTGTCAGAGGGAGATCCAGTTCTAGATGACTGTCATAAGTAAGCTGCAGGCAAGATGGGGTTTTCTCTTTATTCATCAGTCTGCAGTCATCTGATGCTTAAAGATACTGGTTTGTCCCCAGTTTGCTGGAAGCTGCTGAAGCCAAGGATAACACCATGGCTAAAGCTCCAATATTGAGAGATAGAGTCATGCTTTACTGACTTCAGAGTTCAAGCATTCGAGGCGTTAGGGTAGAGTGTTTTTCCCCTCGGGGGTCTTATTTCTTGCCTCTATGAAAGTCAGAAAGAAAGCAAGAGAAGTTCCTATTAAAAACATTCTAACACAGCATCTGAGATGAATGACAAAGGTCCTGTAATTGCTCCCTTCCCGGGACCTTAATAGCACACACATGTGTGCTCTGAAAGCCAGTGCTCCACACACCTTCACATCAGGCTTTTTATGAGGATCACTCATTTAAACCCCATAGCTCTAGCTGAAAAGCAGCATGCAATATGCTTTCATAAACACCAGGTCAACTTTCACCATGGCATCATGCTAAAGAAAGAAGTATCTGTCTTTTCACTGATAAGATCTAATTAGCCCAAAGCAAACTGTAAGTTGTTTTTCAAGCTTCCTTGTTCTTTTCTTTCTTTTTTTTTTTTTTTTTTTTTCTTCTTTTTGAACCCTAGATCTGTAAAAGAACATATCTGGTCTTGCTTACAACAATCTTTCATTTGGAAACTTTTGTGAAATGACTGATTTGTTTAATTTAGCCAAGAAGAAAAAAATGCATACCCTTCTGACTCAGTATGGGAAGAAACAATAAATTATGGCAGCAAATGCTCATGGCTGATGTGACAGTATCTTAGCAGGAAAAGAGAAGCAATTTTTGCAAACTGCCTACAGCTGTACTTTCAAACTGCACGACCCCAAGGAACAAGACCTGACCAGCACATCCAGCATGTCTCACTGCATAATTAAGCTTAGCTTTGCCATTCTGAAAAGCTCCATTGTATACAGAGAGTTCAGAGATTAAAGGCTGAACACGTGAATATTCTGGGTAGTGAGAGTGCCCCTAAAGTACTTGTGCAGTGGAGCCCAGGTGGATGCTGATGAGAAAATGCCATTTAATCCAATATTCCAGTCAGGAAAAATTTACTTCTCACAAGGTTTCAAACTGGATTTCAAGAACAGGCTCAAGCAGAGCTGTGAGGTGATACAGTGCTGCCCACTGGGGACCATATTCTAGCAGGTCACCTACTGCACTTGTGCCATGGCTGGACCTGTGGCACAAAGTGGAAATACTCCAGAGCTTATTCCACCAGGACAACTTGATGGTGAAAAACACCTAATGCAAAAGGCACAATCAAGGTAATTTTAAATAGCCCCAGTAGTAATGGACA